TCCAGGACAGTGACACCCAGCATATCGCGCAGAATCCTTTACCTGCACATGATGATGTACACTTTGTGGGGATGATGCGTGGTGACAGGGAGCATGAGAATTCTCTTGGGAACTTTCTGACTGAAGTTAATGATATGAAAATTGGCAATGGTCTTGGTAATATTGATGTGGAACTCAGTGGTTAAGATGCCGAGCTTGGTAATTGGAAAGACGCTCCTTTCTTTGTTAGCCAGGGAGGAGTCTTGATGGTTCCTTTTATTGTCATTTCTGTTGTTCGGGTTATTTCAGGGTTGTAATCCGTATATTGTCTTGTGCCTCAAACTCTTCTATCCTTTTATTTTGACTAGTTCCTTTAGTCATAGTAACTCATTTAGTGTTATCTAGGTTTGTTCCAGGGTTGTAACCCAGTTTATTTTGGTTGTTTTGCTGTTCAAACCCTTTCACCGTCTGTCTAATGCAATTTTCTGTTTTCTGTTATTTCTAGTCATTTTTTGTTTGGTTCTCTTCTCCTTTTATAGTTCTTTTCCTGCTGACTCTAGTGACATGACATGCACGCATAATTTTAGGCTTGGTCTTAAAAGTTAGTTTAATCATGAAGCAATGAAACAACTTTGAAGACGATAGAGACATTTGAGGGAAATAAGTAAAGATTGGATATTTTGAGATCATTTAAAGCCCGAACTGTGTGAAATTGGGGCAGATGGTTTGGGAAGTTGAGAGGATGACAGGATTTGTTACAAGAGAGTGCGTCCCAACAATTTGAAGCGAGCGACTTTGAGTTCAAGTGCATCTCAAGTTACGAGATAAAGCCAAGGAAGTTTGCTCCAAACAGACGGAAACTATCCATCGTAAAGAAGAAACCACCCAATGAGAGTTTTGTACTTGACAAGGCACTAAAAAGGTGGAAGGCATATCAGTGATATCAATGCCGAAGCTGTAAAAGAAATATTGTGCATGATTTTCCTTTTTCATTCTCAAGTTGCATATGTTATACTTTGCATTTTCAGAGATTGGGAGGCCCTCTTCAGCTACCCAAACACTTTATACCATTCGGTACCCCTTTTTGAGTCTGTGCTAATTTTCTTGACCTCCCCTCTTTTGGAATCAAGTTAGAGTCATACGAATAAAATTGTCCCCATAGGTTTATTTTACAAAGTTCATTCCAAAAGAAAAATTTAAAAAAAAAAGAAGAAGAGAAAAATAGAGATAAAGAAAAAAGAAGAAGAAAGAAAAAAAAAAGAAAAAAGAAAAAAAAGAAAAAAAAGGAAAAAAGGAAAAAAAAGGGAAAAGGAAAATAGTAACAAAAGTAGTTTTGTGAGCTACGTTTGACCTGATTTTTGTCACCACAAGATACATAGGCAACCTTACAGTTCGGTCATACAAAATAAAATATTTCATAATCCCACAAAGTCGAGAGTGGGAAATTCCATCTAAAAAAAATAATCAAATTCCCTTGTTTTAGAAATTGGGGCAAAGTTTTTAGAATGGATTCCAAAAGTTGTAAAATTAACCCCGTTGTCTTAGTTATTTTGAGCCTTTACGATATCCTTTCTTTCTAACCTTATCCATAAGCCATATTACAGTCCAAAAAAGACCTCCTAGATAATCTTTGAGAGTGTTGAGTTTAGACATGCCAAGAGTATATGATGTTTTTACTCTGGTCAATGCTTTGTCATCTACAGAATTAGAGGAAATAAAAAGAAAAAAATCAAAATGAGAGAGTCTTATCGGTGAAAACCTTCACAGGCACCATAAGGCGACGGTAAGTTGAGAGAAAGAACAAAATGAGAGAGTCTTGATGGTGAAAACCCTTCGGGCACTACAAGTCGAATAAGGATCGTGAATCGGATAGGATAATCAGAGCATTGAAGCCCGGTTTCACGGTGAAGAGTCACAACAAGAGTTAAACATTAGACTTGCTTGACAGATTAGGCCATTTAATCTGAAGGTGCATGTCATGGTCATTAGAGTTGGTATCCACATCTGATAAATTTCTACTTTGTAGTTTTCTTGTTAGGAATCATCTCTTTCCATTGTCCTTTACTCTGTTCCTTTTGTCTTGTTTACTTCCTCTTCCTGAGTCTTTTTGGTCAGAACAGGTGAGAAATGACTTCAAAATTTGCCACCAGCTTTCTAATTGCACAAAACGGAATTTGGCTAGCACATCAAAGTGGCATACGTCAGGAAAGAACAACAAGCGCACTGAGTTGGTAACAATCAATGTGCTTTGGGATTCATGTGAAATACAAAGTTTCGATATATGTCAATTCATGAACAATGCAACACATAGAGGGTGTTGGGTTTGAACGGATCAAAGATATTTTCTGTGATAAGGTTAACAGAGAAAGTGGTTAACCAATAACAAACAAGGTCTTCCAAGTGGAAATCAAAGTTATCATGGTAAGTGAAGGAGCAATAGACCTCAAGGCCAATGCCACAAACCAACCACCATATTTGTAAACTCACAAGTTTTCTTTGTTTGAAACAGGGACGAAAATTGTGTCCAAATCAAAGCTTGGAAGTTTGAATTTTTTCAAGTGTCGTGCCCAAATTTTGTCAGCACAAAGGCGGTTTGAGAAGGAGAAAGAAAATTTGTTCGATCTGTAGGAACCCTGCATGAGGAAAAGCATGGTTCAGGGGCAAGGAATTTTGTTCATTCTGCAGAGATCCTCCAGGAGGAAAGCATGGCTCAGGTAAGTTCATTCTCGGTTTTTCAGGACCCGCCTGAATAATAGGATTTAATTTAAAATTTTCAGGGCCCTCCTGAATAATGAGATTTAATTTTAAAAAAGGTTCTCAGGACCCTCCTGGATAATGAGACCTAGTTAAATTTCAAGACCCTCATAGATAACAAGATTTAGCGTAAGTTCTACCTATAGGAAATATAATTTAGCTTTAAAGTTTTCACTCTCAAGATGAGATTTAATTTGAAATTTTCAGGGCCCTCCAGGATAATGAGATTTACCTTTTGAATTCTTATAGCTCTTTTGATAACAAGATTTGATTAACACTCACAGATGTTCCTAGTACCAAACTGGGGCAGAAAAGTTTCTTTTGTTTTGTCTGTTTTGTTGTAATGGTAGGCGCCCACTTGGAAAATAAGGGAATACATTTCAAGTTTTGGCAATCAGGCGCCCACCTGGAGAACAAGGGAATACAGTTTAAGTTTTGGCAATCAGGCGCCCACCTGGAGAACAAGGGAATACAGTTCATGATTGGCACAATCAGGCGCCCACCTGGATAACAAGGGAATACAGTTTAAGTTTTGGCAATCAGGCACTCACCTGGAGAACAAGGGAATACAGTTCAAGTTTTGGCAATCAGGCGCCCACCTAGAGAACAAGGGAATACAATTCAAGTTTCCAGCAATCAGGCGCTCACCTGGAGAACAAGGGAATACAGTTCATGTTTTGGCAATCAGGCGCCCACCTGGAGAATAAGGGAATACATTTTAAGTTTTGGCAATCAAGTGCCCACCTGGAGAACAAGGGAATACAGTTCATGTTTTGGCAATCAGGCGCCCACCTGAAGAATAAGGGAATACATTTTAAGTTTTGGCAATCAAGTGCCCACCTGGAGAACAAGGGAATACAGTTCAAGTTTTAGCAATCAGGCGCCCACCTGGAGAACAAGGGAATACAGTTCAAGTTTTAGCAATCAGGCGCCCACCTGGAGAACAAGGGAAGTCAATTCAGAATCCAATTCAAGTTAGAAGTAGCAGAAGCTCGCGGCAAGAATGTGAGTCAACAGTCCGAGGTGATCAACAGAAGTAATCTCAATCGAGAATAAAAAAGAAAAACAAAAAAAAGGAAAAAAAGAAAGAAAAAGGGAAGTGAATCCAGAATGCAGAAGCTGAGACAAGAGGTGGATTGCTCAAGACATGACTGAAGTCACAAGCATGGTGTGTCCGGTTTTGATCCGAAAAGCTAAAGAAGAATGAACTAGCACCTGCAACTAGCAAACGTCAAGGTTCAAATCTAAAGTCTGAATGAAGAATCATTCAAGACTCAAGATCAAGCTTCAAAAGACTTATAGATAGGAATCTTGTAACTCATAGTTGACAGGCTTAGTTAGTCTTTTTTATTTTTTTAGTTTGATGTAAAAACAGGACCGCGAACCGGAACCTTGACAGAACGGCACCTCGACCGGCTCTCCACCTCAGTATACTCCATCACCTCGTTCACTTCTAAACTACACGTGACCTGATTCCTTTATAGCCATGGAATGTACGAAGCTCAGATACCGGGGCTCGATCACATTCTCCTTCCTCTTAGTTATTGGTCTCCCTAAATAAGGGTCGGGTCAAAAAACCTATCTCGTCGTTCTTTGTCTGAAAACTCTTCGCGTTCCCAGTCAAAGAGGGGCAGCTGTAGACATGTGATTTTTGACCTTCCCCAAGATTTTACACATTTTAGCGTAAAATATTTAGTTTTGGTCCAATATCGCTATTTTAAATAGTTTTGACTCTTTTACTTTGTTTTATCACAAAAAATAAAAATTACAAAATATTTTCTATTATGTAACTAATTGTTATTTTATCTACTTTTGATTTATTTACCTTTCATAAAATTAAACAATACAAAAATAATATTGATATTATGTTTTTCCAAAACACAAAAGATAAGAAGAAACTTCAAAAAAAAAATCACTTGGTAGTGTAATTTTTTTTTAAAAGTTTTAGGCCTTTAATAAGTATTAAGTAGTATTAGAATTTTCTTAATTTGGCTATAAAATGATATGTCTAGCTTCCCATTTTACCCCATATTCACGTGACCACCATCTGATTGAAGGAAATCTTTTCATAACAAATTTTATTTGTTTTTCTTATGATTTTTTTTGGCAAACAATTCATAGAGATTATTGGTAGTAGCTTCTAGAAAGTCTCATAAGAGGGTAACATGTTTTTTCTCCTTGGGCTCACATATTCTTTCCTCTCCAAGCCCATATGGTCATATCTTTTATTATATAGAAACCCTACGGATAAAAAGTACATGACAGAATAAGAGAGAGGACCCCAAGACCTAGACCCCTAACGCCTAGATCCTTAAGAGACGGAAGCATCCGCCGTTTTACACAAAACAGAGACCCCCCTCCCCCGATCGGTCTTCTTCGAAAAAAATAAAGCAGCCATTTCCATGGCTTTTACTTAAAAAAAAAAAAGCAGATACATCGGCAGCCATCTCCCATCTTTGGAGAGAAAAAACAACCACCCTCAACTTTCCGTTTCCACCCAAACTCCGTCCCTCACATCACCGCTGGAAACCAGCCACAAAACACTCCCCAAAAGTAGCTCCAAAAAGACACCAAAACAGTTGTAACTCCACAAGTCGTCGCTACTGCTTCAGTTGTATAATCATCGTGAAAACCAGTTCACAAACACAGCGAACCACCGACTCCAAGAACTACCCTGAACCATTGCAAACAACTACAAAAAACATAGTGAGAGGTTCCGGTATAGAGGTCGTTGAGGTTTTGAGTTGCCGGTTATGTCCGAATTCGCCGGCGAAAGCTCTGGTCAAGAATCGTCGAGTTGTTTAACCTCTTGTAATTACAATTTGGTTGATTTATACCAAAGGTCCGTTCTTCGCATCTTCTCGACTGATTATTTTGTTCATTTACATTGTTATTGTTAGTGTAATAGTTTGTTTTATTGATGTTTGGATTGTTGATGAATTGCTAAAGCACTGATGAGATGAGGATATTCAGTCGAAACTAGGTGTCACACAAAATCTATTCTGCCATCCAAATATTGATTTTACATATAACCTAAGCAAATAAACTTATATGATAATGACACTTCCATCACTCACATTAGGGAATTAGCAAAGAAGTGGCAGTCTAATGTTAAGAATGTTGTGAATGTACACTACCTTGGATACCTGTTGCTGGATTTGTACGAAGTTTTTAAGTTGGTTTAGAGGTGTTTTGGTATTGGTTTGAACAATGAATTTGGATTGGAGGAAATTAACAAGATTTTTAAAAGTATCTTTGGAGTTATATGTTTAGTAGCCACATTGAACTTGATAGGAGTTTTAGGCGCTCTTAATTAATCAAATTATCGCGATTATGTATACGTTCGCCTAACATAATTATGATTTTCAAAGTTAAAAAAAGGTACACGTTGCATGACTTTGGCCAAATAATCTTAATAATAACAAAGCGTTATTAATTGTGGACACGTTTGCGTGACATGATTTTTGACGCGCCAAACAAATGGACACACGTACGCGTGACTCGTTTTAGGATAATTTTTAATTAAAAGAGGTAAATGCACATAGGTTCTAAAATAAATAATTAGACAATTTAATAAGCCAAGTATGATCAAAGCGACCGTGCTAAAACCACGATACCCGGGAATGCCTAAAACTTTCTCCCGGGTTAACAGAATTCTTTACCCGAATTTCTGTGTTCGCAGACCATAAATAAGAGTCAATCTTCCTCGATTCGGAATTTTAAACCGGTGACTTGGGACACCATAATTATCTAAAGTGGCAACTTTGAATTTTAAATAAATAATTCTGTTTCGATTGTCACTTAAATTGGAAAAAACTCCCTTATATCCCTTTCATGGGTAGGAAAAAGGAGGTGTGACAATGTATTACTGCCTGAACTACCCAGATCATGCTGAATAAAAATCAGCAGGCAAACAAAAAGTTGTAACACCTGCCTTAATAAAATTGTCTCTATACTCTGTTTTCTCGTATAGACATCCTGCCTATAGGATCTTAAGGTTAATAAGGTTTGTTGTATCAATTGCGTGCTTTTGTTGTTTATATGTGGAGGTCAATATGAGCCTATATTTGCTTGCTATCTGAAAGTTCTAATTGTTTTGTTTGTCTCCTGGGCTTTTAATTTTTTGAGCAACGTAGGCTGGGTCTAGAACTATCCCAAATATAGGTCCTAATACCTCCAGGGCCATAGGTAAGGGACGGGTAGTGCATGCATAAGGATCGAACTAGAATCAATTAGAGAGCTTTAGGTAACAACTTAAAGATAGTAATCGGGTAGCAGGAGATGATAGTCTGTGCCCGCTGAATAATATGAGTAACACCCCGACTCGAGGGAGTTACAAAGTATTATTTATGTTGCACGGGTTAATCCTTTAGGCTAAAAAATTTAGGACCCCCATCCCTATTAAATATTCTTCTCACTTCTTTATTAGACTAATTCATTAGTTAAGTTCGGTCGGGACCCACCGTTGTGGACCTCGAGGGGTGCCTAACACCTTCCCCTCAAGGTAATTTCGAGCCCTTACCCGATCTCTGGTAATATAATCTAGTAACATGAGTTATCTGCTCTAGGTGCCCTAATACACCTTAATCCGTTAGGTGGCGACTCTTTCAATTCCAATTTTCTACCCTCTCAAAAGGAGTTGTCCCAGAAATGTCGAAACCCGATTTCGCGAGAAAAAGGGGGCGCGACAGTCTCAATAGTAACAATGTGATTTTTTATATAGGAATGAAGTTGGGCCGAAATACTTCTCTAATTTTGCACCAAAATCTAAAAGAAATTAATTTAGGAAAATAATCCTAGTAGGGCTTAATTTTCCTTCTACTTCACATGCCATTCCTCCCATGCAAGTGTTTCTATAAATTGAATCCTTCTTGCAAACAAATTCTTTCAGCTGGCATAAGGAATCAGTTTGTAGCTCCTGATCAACGCGCATCAAGGGACTTATTAGTTCTTTTAATACCTACTTTATAAGTCATTAACCTTATTTATTAGTACATTAAATATATTCAAAGGACCTAGTTCATAGACTACTATATATTAATTATTAAAACTAATTTAAGCTCATCTTTAAAAGATGAAAATAAGAGCTTTTGACTTGAAGGAAAAAATGTATTTTTGATGGTCTAAATACCACTGAATTTGGACTGAGAATCTAACTATATATTTTAACTCATAAGGTTGGGCCAATAGGGTTTGAATCTTATTTATGTGGACTTGGTGTTGACTTTTGTTTATTTTGAACTAAGTCTATTTTTGAGTCATATAACTTTATTTTGCATCTTGAAGTATATTTGGGTTAGAGCGAGTTCGTATGATGGATTTAGATCAAGAAAATACGATTATTGAAAATAGAACTAGGCTAAAGCCGAGGTAAGTTGAGACTTAACCTCAGTGAGGTTTTTTCCCCCCAAATTGTCTTATTTTCTCCATGCTACATGTTTGAGGATAACGTATATGCGAGGTAACAGGCGTATATACGTATACCATGTGCTTCTACACTTGGGTAGATGGATATGCTTCACATGCTTTACTTAATTTACTTGTGCTATGACTATTTATGCATCTTCACATGCTAGTATCATATTTCAGGTGTTTCTCATATGCTACTTTAACATGATAGGAAATAGTATGTCATGATTAATTATTGTATGACTACTTGAGTATCTTGTTCATGATAGTATAACATTATAGGCATCATTTACATATTAGTTTAACATTATAGAGTTCATGTACCTGTTTTATAAGATGAACTACTTAGTCATATATTATTTCTTATATGCATCTTGTTAGTACATATATTTTATCTTCAGTGCTTATTTGAGATTTTTGTATAAAAAATTGAGTTGTTGGGTGTGTGTGCATTTACATTTCGTTGAGGTATCGGTTTGAAGATGTCATTATATGTTCCTGTTGATATATATATATATATATAGGCATGTCATTACATGTTCTTGTTGAGGTATCAATTAGGGCATGTTATTGCATGTTCCTATTGAGGTCTCTGTTTGGGCATGTCATTGCATGTATCTTTAGGCGTGTAAAATTACGTTCTCGTTGAGTGTGACTAAGGATCCATTCGTCTGGAGTCGCCCTCCCATGTTTCATACGTGGAGGTTCAGAAATCCACATAAATCCACGAGTTACTTTTTTGATTATGATACTAGTTGATGACTTTAAGCATAAAAGTGAAAGCTTTATTATATTTTAAGTGAATTCTTATGCCTATTCATATATTTTTATATGCTTAGCTGTACATATGATTAATATATGTCATTTCGATGCATTGCATGCATGCATTGGGTTATTTGTTGAGAAAGCATGCATCATATTACATGCTTAGACTGTGCATATCACTAGGTATGTTATTTTGATACATTGATACAAGTATGAGACTTGCTTGATCGAGATAAGGTGTAATACTTTATTTGCTCTATTTGTGCATATTGTTATATGCTTTAGCTGTGTCAGCTTGTTATGCTGCTTCTGTACACTTTCTCTATTGCTACTAGGTATAAGAAATATAAAAGTTTATAAGGAGAGTATTTTGAGTTGACCCTCATCACTACTTTATTAGAAAATAGTCAGGGATACCTATTGAATTCTGTTTCTGCATACTCATACTACACTTTTGTATGTGTACAGATATTTGAGCTGAGCTATTACAGAGTTCATGAGCGAGCATCGAAGATATATTAAAAATTCTAGTTTTTAACTGCCATTTGTTCATGGTAGTTTAGAACCATGAATGTTTGTTTTGTATATTTTAAATGGATGATATATTTTCTTCGTATCAGCACTGTCACGCCCCAAAAATCGAGGAGCGCGACCGGCGCTCAACTGAGTAAACTCGACTGAGCAAGCCTGTTAGATTTCATTCTACCCAAGCTAATTTATGAATAAAGAGGAGATGAACTCCATTATCAAATTCGAAAAGTATTTCATTTCGACTTCCATTTCGTTTCCATTAACAACTTCATTCATATTAACAAAACATTACAAGTTTATAGATTTAATGAAAAATATATTTTGCCAAATACCAACATTTTCAGTTCCACTCCCAAAATCAAGCACCACCCACAAACTGTCTACGGAGCATCTAAGTACAACTGAAGAATAATAAGAAAATGCCGGTAACAAGGCTCCAGCTATATTTCAAAACATGATAAGAAAATGAACAAAAGATACATGAGGAAAAAAAAGTACAAGACCCTGAAATGAAGGCGGACTCGCCAAGTCAGCTGGAAAGAGTATACCGCTATCACTGATCGATGCCGCCAGCTGTGGAACCACCTGTATCAATTAAAAATACAACGCCCCCGACAAAAAGGACGTTAGTGTCGTTGAATAGCACTAGTATGTATAGCTAAAAGTCCTCTTTCAAAATAGAATAACCATATAAGAAAACAAATCATAGAAACAGCAAGTCACAATCAACAATATCCAAATGTCCTATTGAAACATAACGATTTTTAAAGTACGGAAATAATATATATATATATATATATTTGGTTGGGAGATCATTAGCTCCGATATACCACCGTCTTTGTTAGCACGGAGTTTGATCACGCTCGATCGGCTAGGCCATCTACCCACGGATAATGTGGTTCGACATGGTGATGCGAAAGAAAGTTGTTACAAGAGTAGTACCACCATATGCGCAATATAGCGTCTGATCTCCACCCAATCAGCTAGGCCGCCTCCCCACATATACCGTGTGAGTTAACTTTTTCTTTTCCAATTTCACAGGTACCAGTTTCACCCCAATTTAGAGGAATGATCACATTTTCATTAATATTCTAATTTCATCCCAAATGAGAGGAATAATCACAATCCACCCCTACACCGGCACATGTAGTTTCAGGTATGGGCCTTATGACCCACCCTTCCTCGATTTTGCTAATGACTCCCAAAAACAATTAGTTTGATTTGCACATAAAGGTAATATAGATAGAAATGCATTCATCTCAGAATCTTTCACATTATATAGATCTTTATTAGTATTTTCAACCATTCATATTAAAAATATCTCCTTGACTCTTTGGGCCTTTCACAAGGTTCTTTATTCATGGCACGATGACCGCATTTCATACTCCATACTTTCACTTTATTTAATTTCAAGGTTCATCACCAATTACCAGCATATAGAGTGCTTCAAAAATCATATACCATTCATTAGTAATAGAACGTTAAACACAAAGGATTATTCCCAAATGTAGGGACATACCAACCAACAATAAAAACACACATCAAAGTCATAGACAAGCAAATACATCAATTATTCTTGAATTGCTCTTTTCCAATCACGACAATGTACAATTTTAATACCGGAGTATGTATGAACTCGAGTCACATTGGATGTATTTATAAGGCAAAGCATTATTAGCCACTTATGGGCATGAATTAAGTACCGAAAGTTTTTAGGCAATTCTATCTTCGAAGTAGTTTTGAAACAGTTGAGTCGAGGCTCATTTCATAATCCTTATTACCTCTATGCATTTCCCTAGTACCCCTAGCCACAATTATAACTTATATTCTTGGCATGTTGGCCACACTCTATTTTCCCAATTCACTTATTTCATTTTTAAACATCTTTGTAGATTATCAACAGCAAGACATACTCAATCAAGTCATTAGGTACACGTAGGAGCAATTAGGAGTATTAAACATATCGAGTTTTTCTCACCCAATGGTATACTAGTTATCATTTAAAATACGACTCAAAGCCATACCATTTTAATAAGAAAACCATACTTTAAACATCTATCTTTTGATATAAAGCTCATTCGAAATAATCAAGTTTATAAATTTATAGGGGATAACCCAGAATGTAGAAATTAGGGATTTTGAGTCGATCATACTTAAACTTACAAAAACATTATGGAATTCAATTCTGAGAGAGAAAGTTTATCTAACATACCTTGTTGAGCTTTCCTTAAGTTACTACGACGTACCAACACCTCTAGCAATAATAATCTATAGGAAGATAGTGAAAAATCGGTTAATAATTAGAAGGATTCCTATGGTGTAACTCTTTCATCAAACACCTAACATGTGACATGGGCTACATTGTTAGAAATCCCTTCTTCCCTCAACCAATTTCAACAAGAAACTACCCAAATTAGTTCATTAATCCCACATACTATAACTTAGTGTCACATGCATGACCTATTTCCATCCCCACAATATATTTGGACGTATAACCTCTTGCATGAAAGCTTAAGAGTAGGACTTACCCGGGTAGATGATAATCTAGTGGCTAGCTTCCTTGATTCTTAAAGACTTGGGCAAGATTGGATGATTAAGATGTTGGGTTCCCTCCTTCTCTCTCTAAAATGTTCCTACCACTCTCTAAACTCTCCAGAAAATCGTCCCAAATGAAGCCCCAAATGCTATTTATCAAAATGGGGTCGAGTTAAAGAATAGAAAAATGGACCTTCCGACTCGGGTATGCGACAATGGCTGCATAACAGATGTGCCGCCCGCAAAATGGTTGCACAATTGGTGCTCAAAACTGGGGTATTTCAGGTTGGGTCTGCGGCAGGTCTGCGGTGCACAGACCTGTTTTGCGGTCGCAGAATGCATCGTAAACCTGATCTACGGTCGCAGAATGCACCGTAGACCTGATCTACGGTCGCACAATGCGTCGCATAATGGTCCTCAACTAAGCTTGACTTCTGCTTCACTTTTGCAACAGGAGTGCGGTCCGCATATCGATTCTACGGCCGCAAATCGGACCGCAGAATTGCATTCTTCTGCCAAAAAATTTCATCCACTCCTCAGTGCATTCTCCAACTCAAAAAGTCCGAACCGCTACGAGCTTGCTCGCTGCGAAGATAAATTTTTACTACTTCTGAACACTTTAGCCTAACTCGGCACCACAAAACCTTAAATTACACAGTGAAATTTTCCGAGGCCTTACAAATAATGTATTTTATTTCTTGATTTTTCATTACTTAGTGATTATCATTCTTGGGATAATTTATGTTAAATTTTGTATTTTTACTTTATTATTTATATGATAATCTTCGGCTTGAGTTGTATTTGTTTTGGTTGATTCGTGTGACAAATTGGATTAAATGTCATCATGACTTAGTAGGATTTTGGATCGCGACAAATCAAATGAAATATTAAGACAATAGATCTTAGGACGCAATTATATTGTTTTTGTACATGAAGCCACATAAATCAGATTGTACTACAGTTACTAGGCACAACTGATGGCTGAATAGCTCTGTTAAGCCTAAGGTACCCCATTATTTGGAATGTACTTGTGCACCTCATTGAATGTCCAAAATCCTATCGTTTCTTATTGGCATTGGTATTAAATGGAATGATTGTACTACATTTAAGTTGATTTAAATGAATCAAATTAATAAATGAATTGTAATGAATTATTTAGTGTAACGATCCGGCCGGTTGTTTTGAGAGAATTAGCCCCGATCCCCTATCTACTATTTTCTTTGTTTCATTTTATACTTATGTGACTTGCTGGGAGGATTTATTTTTGGTTTCAGAGTGAAAAGGGACACTTAGTCCCTAAAATTGAAGCTTAAGTTCTACTAATTTGACTGTGATGACCCAAAAGGTCATCACTTGTGTTGCAAGTGAATTCAGTATTCCGAGGCCTAAAAACCTCCTTTTTACCCCACCCTGATTTACGTGCGTGGTCCGGACCTATATCCGGAAAGCCTTCTATGTGAAAATATGAGAAATAGAAATTTTAGAGTTAAAAAAATTGATTATGGTTGGCTTTGGTCAACATTTTGAGCAAACGAACCCGGATCCCTGTTTCGACGATCCCGGGAGGTCCGCAGTAAAATATGGGACTTGGGCATATGCCCAGAATTGAATTCTGAGGTCCCAAGCCTTAGAAATCAATTTTTGAAAGAAATTATTTTACTGAATTATCTAAGAAATAAAGTAAATAATTAATGTTTGAAACCATTGTAATCGGTCTCGTATTTTAGTTCCGGAGCCCGGTACAAACTTGTTATAGTATTTGAAAGATTACTGTGAAATTTGGTGAAAACGGAGTTTATTTGATGTGAATTGGACTTCCAATTGAAAAGTTATGAACTTTGAGAGTTCTTGATGAAAATGTTGAGTTTTGAGGTTTAGTTCATGATTTTACATGTTATTTTGATGATGTGATCGCACGAGAAGGTCCATATGATGTTTTTGAGTTAGTATGCACATTTGGTTTGGAGTCCAGAGGGCTCGAGTGAGTTTCGAGTATGTTCCGGGGTGTCTTAGGCTTAAAACATGGCTACTGGAGGTTCAGAGAAGTGCAAATTTCTGAACCTGCTAGTGCGGTCCGCACAAGTTTTTGTGCTGTCCGCACAGGTGACTGTGCGGCCGCAGTTGATTTTGTGCGGTCCGTACAGGTTCACTAGTCCAACTTCGGAAGCCTATATCTTTTGATATACAAGCAATTTTGAGATAATTTAAAAACAAAAGTTGTAGCCCTTCGTGTCTAGTTTCCAAATAGGTAAAGAAATCACAATTTGGAAATCTGTAGAGAAAGTTATGGCCAAAATACTAAATCATGTCACTGCAGTCCACACGGGGGCTGTGCGGTCGCAGTTGATTTTGTGCGGTCCGTAGAAGGCATCTGAGAGTAGTATATTTAGACGGGATTTTCAATTATTTTTCATTTTTCAAAACCCCAAAAACATAAGAGGCGATTTTTCAAACAATATTTCTTCTCCAAAACGTTGGTAAGTGATTTCTAACTCATTTTCTTTACTCCTTAACATCTTTTAACATGATTTCAACTAAAATCAATGATTT